AGTAATGTGCATCAATTCAAAAACACTTTTAAAACTTTGAACATGAACAGAAAAGGAAAGTTTTCTTTGTTTAGCTAGAGGGCAAACTTCACAAAGTAGATCTTTGGTACATTTAACATCTGAAAAATTTTGATTTATTACATTAATCCTTTCAACAAGAGCATGACCTAACCTAAAATGCCATAAATAAAAAGTCTTGTGTCCTATTTTTGCAGGCATTGACAGATAAAGCTTTGGGAAACTTTATAAGTTTTCAAAATAAAATTTTGTGAATTCTTGCTTATCCTGACTATCTTGCATCAAATAAAGTCTTGTGAAAACTCTAGCTACCCTAATCACCCTCCATGAAGGAATGTCCTGACAACATAACACTGATCAGTGAAAAGAACACAGGTTTTCCTCTCTTTATTAATCTGCCTTATTGACATTAAGTTGAATTTGAAACTTGGGACACACAACACATCATGCAATACCAGAGTTGGACTAAGTTTGATTGTCGTTATGTGTGAAATAGGAATTCTTTTGTTGTTCAGCTTATGGACATAACAGTTTTTTACTGGTTTAGCATAGGTGAAACTATTTAAAGAGAAAGGTATATGATCTGTTGCTCTAGAATCTACTATCCAATGTTCTTGTTTAATCATGTTAGTATTCACATTTCTATATCTAAATAGAATGTTATTGATAGTGTTGAAACAAGAGTGACATGAGACAATACCTGTAAATGTTGAATTAATCAGTGAGTGTTTAGTTGGCTAAAAATTTCCTAGAATGTCCGTACCATTCTTGCCATATTTCTCATTCACATTCAAGAACTCCATCAGTTTGTTTACCTTCTGCTGAATGATAGATATTTGAGACATAGAATCAGTTCCAGCCAAGTCTTCTTTTTGCTCAGATTGAGTTTTATTCCTTGCAACTCCTTCATAACTTCCAAAGACATTATTCATTGTTGTTTTTCTTCCTGTAGTGGCTTTTCCTTTTTGTGAATTTGAAGTCTTTTGGGAGGCCATTGGTTCTAAAGCATTTGTCATTGATATGCCTTTTCTTTCATTTTTTTTCTTATTGTCAACATTAACCATCATAGTAGAGGTTTCAATGATTGGTTGTGCTTGAAACATCATATTTCTCAAAGTTTTTTCCTTCAAGATTAACCTATAAACCTTGTCCAATGCAAGAATAAGGTCCATGAGAATAATCTGAGATTTGATAGCTGAAAATGACTAATTCAAACCATTTAGGAACTTGAAAACCATATCCTTTTAGTGTTGATTAAAGTACTTCTTAAAACAATAGGGTTACACTTCCCACACTCATAATGAGGCAGCAGTCTAAAACTCTTCATCTCCTTTCAAATCCTTTTCAATGCAATGAAATAGGAATCAATTGTTTTGGTTCTCTGAGTTACATTTCCCAGAGCATATATTGAAGGTTACATACTCAGGTATCATCTGGCAGAGAGAAGTTTTGTTTGAGTGTATTCCATATTTCGAAAGCTGAGTCCATGCAAAATATGGTAAAGACCACTGGTTGTGAAATGTAATCCAACAACCATGCTATAATCAGGTTATTGGAGTGAGTCCAAGATAGGAAAAAGGGATTTGTGATTTTAGGTTTGGGGATTATACCATTAATGAGCCCAACCTTGTTCTTAATTGAAAGGGTTAGTAAAAATGACTTACTCCAAACTACATAGTTGTTGGTAGTGAGCTTGGGGTTAATGATCACTGAACCAGAGTGATCAGTGATTAGTGTGATGTAAATAGGATGCTGGTTGAGGGTCAACTATAGGTGGAATCTGAGTATTTTGTGGGGTGATTTGTGTATTGTTGGTCTGTGTTGGTGTAGATTCAATAGAATTAGCCATTGTTTCTCAATGATCAATAGGCAAACATAAGAGAATAAAACAAATAAAAGAAAAAAAAATGGCTTTCAAAGAAGCAGATATTGACTTACTGAAAGATAGGTACTTATTATCATCGACCTTCTTCAGTATTAGGTGATTGAAAGTTTCACTTTGTCAGTGAATTGGCCGTAGCTTTGATACCATGTAAAACATGTTACTAAAAGGGAAAATGGCGAAGCAGATGAGAGAATGAGAAAAATTCTCCTTGAATCACACAAAGGGTATTATATAAATAAAGGAAGATATACAGCTTTACAGGTGTAAGCAGAAGAGAAAGAAAGCCTAGCTAATCATTGTATTAATTAGCTAACTAATTTAACTAATTTTTGAAAATCAACTTCATTAGCGAAACGGTGTGTTTCACCAGCATAGTGCCTATGTCTTCTTGTTTAAGTGAAACGGTGCGTATGGCTATTCTTCTTTTCTTTAACGGCTCAGGTCCATAGATTCCATTTCTTTGCTTGCTTCCCATCCTTTTGTACCTTCTTCCTTTGTTTCTCAACCATTTATGGTGGATCAGGACTTATTTATTTATCTCATTTCGAATAATGAGTTAAAATATTATTTTTTATTTTATACCTCATGATTATGATATATTATGACATGACATTAATATTGAGGGTGAAAATATCAATATGTCATATAATTATATTATCATACTATATTAGCATGTTATATTATTATTATTATAAAATATTAACATACTACGTCAATATTATTATGATATGTTAAAATGGTTAAGTGATATTTTTACTAATAACAGTTAATTAAAAATTAATTATAAGAGTTTATTTGATTCAAAATAAAATATAAAAATTTAATTAAATATAATAAAATATAAAAATTTATTTAAATTTTTTAAATAATTTAAAAACTTTTAAATATTATGTCTTAAATTTTTTTATATGTTGGTGAATATATAAGCTGATATTTTTCTTTTCAAGTAAAAGATAGAGAATCAGAAAGCCATGTAAAATGGAATACGTATCTTCCACTTTCTGTGAGATCGAGAGACATAATGAGACAGAAAAGTATATTTATAGGATTACAGCTTAGCAGTGGAAGATCCAAAAGGAAAATGACGTAACTATCACCCAAATTAATTATATTATTCTATGGTCCATCCATATCCTTGCGTTGGCACAACGTCCTTGGCTGCGATTCCCCCACTCCCGTCTCCTCCTTCAGTTATAGAAGGAAAGCAAAACGACGACACTGTATGGACCACCCTCGGAGGGAGAACGTCATAAATAACATTTAACATTTAAACTTTTGGAAATTTGATGATAGATTCTTCACATGCTAGACATTTCAATTTCGCCATTGATTAGACATGAGTTTTTGTTTTCCTCTAGGACCATGCTTTCACAAAGTTTTTATAACACATGCACACATTATATAAAAGTATTTAAGCATTCTGAAATATTATTGTAACAATAAGTAAAGTTTTCTAAATATATTATATATAATTAATAATTAGAATCGATCGAATTGATCGAATCAATTAAGATAAACTGATTTCGGTTATTTTCAATTTTAAAATGTAGTATATAAACGGTTTTGATTATTTTTTTATAAGAGTTCGATTTATTTCGGTTTTTAATATGTTAAAACTGAATTAAATTCAAATTAACTAAATACTAATTTTTAAAAATTAAGGTAAATAAAATAATGAAATAAGGTGATATTTTGTTTTTTGGCCAAGAGAAAAGAGAATTTCCACGCACTGACATGTAAGATTACATTTGTTTCTATCTTATTAATGAGTTCAATAAAAATAAGAGAAAAAAAAATTAAAGTATCAATGTATTAATTCTCTATAATTTGCATAAATAAAGCATGTGAGAATAAAGAAATTAAGGTAAATTTTTTTTTTGATATCAAAATTGAAAATAATATCTAAAAGAAAATTCATATAAAATGAGACTTGAACTTAAACGTTGAATTTAATGATTCTAATACCTCATTGACATTGAGCATCAAAAATATTAGTTCCTTGTAATTTGCATAAATCATGTCCTAAAGAACAAAATTAATGTAAATTACATTTTGTTTCCTAGTGGAATTCAAAACAATGTCTTGAAGCTAATATCAAGTCCGTGATCCTTATCCGCTTACAGGTAGTCACCAAAATTTCAAAACCTTACTCAACTAAGATTGTCTTAAAGTGCTTGAAAAGTTCAAAATTATAAGGGATTTCATTGATATTTATATTTAAAAGAAACTATATCTAGAGTTTTCTTCATTGATAACTTGCATATTTACTATTATATATGCAATCCAGAAAGGAAAAGTTAAGACAGTTTTTGTACGGCCCACTAACAATGAGGCAATGCAACAAAGGACAACAACCCAAAGTTGGGAGAAAAGCAGGGAATCAATTGAAATGAGGAAAAAAGTTGATCTAATCTACAATAATTGTGGGTTGGAGTAACTTTAGCATGTTTACATGAGGAACTCTGTTGACAAAAGATCCTTTCACCACAAGTTCTCAGTTTGATCAGTACTCTAATCTTATTCACTGTTGAATTATTATAGATGCTTGCAACTTTATTTTTTAAAGCTAGAAATCCCACTTCTAAAGAAGAAATTCTAGATATTTGAACTGATCTATATCAGTATCAGGTATAACTTTAGGAATTCTAAACAGGGTTTAAAGTTAAACAATATGAAAGCTTAATGTAAAGCAAGAAAGATAAATTTTGCTGCAGAAGACTCAATCCTCCCATGTGATGATTCAAAGCTAAATTCAATGATCCTTAAGGTTGGAAAAATGTTAAGAGGCAAGCAAAATGGCCCCCATATAACAGTGCCAAACTTAGGCTGAATCAAAAGTTTCGAGAACAGGATCATTAACCAGATGGTTGGGTGTTTGTTATCAGTCTAACCTCACACGACAGAGCAACACCGTTGATTGATTATCTGTTCACTTAACCTTTCACCATCTTGGTGTGTACAAAGATGATAATGAAGAGATAGGAACCAAATTTAGAAAAGTTGTCTTTTTCTGATATTTGGTTGACTGCAGTGGCTCGCTGGCTTGTGAGCACCAAGACCACAGGATGATAATAACACCAAAATGACCACATCGTACAAGTTCTTAAGCTCATGCAAAGCCCACTCATAACCGCAACAATCTGGGGAGACTCGGAAGCTACATGCACAGTAGTACCCAGGCGGCACTTATCATACTTCTATTCCCCACCCCAATCATGCACTTCTCCCCTTCTGTTTCCCCCTCGTAAATCTTTAGCCTAGACAGCACCATTTTCATCTCTCTATCTCTCTCTCCTCTCAAAGTTTTAGCCATGGTACAGTTAACTTACAAATTTTCATTAGCATGCTTAACTAATTTAATTACCTTACGAATACTTTCTTTTGTTTCCTGGATTTTGCTCTGAATGCTTACAGGTTTCAGTTGGAAGTCATGGTGAGAAAGATGGTTCAAATAATGGAACTGTGGTTGATTTCCGGGGGAATCCGGTGGACAAGTCCAAAACTGGTGGATGGCTTGCTGCTGGGCTCATCTTAGGTGATTATGATGAACTTCACAAGTTGGAGTGATTTATCTTTGATCCAATGTTTTCACTTGCTAACAGGAATGGAAGTTTTGGTGCAGGATCCGAGCTCTCAGAGAGGATATGTGTGATGGGCATATCGATGAACTTAGTGACATACTTAGTTGGAGATTTGCATATTTCATCAGCAAAATCTGCAACTATAGTTACCAACTTCATGGGCACTCTCAATCTTCTTGGTCTCCTTGGAGGTTTCTTAGCCGATGCCAAACTTGGCCGATACTTAACAGTTGCAATCTCCGCATCCGTAACAGCTTTGGTGAGATTGTTTTATACATAACTGAAATAACAAAGCTGATATCTATAAATTGCGCACTTTGCAAATTACCAGTCCTTGAACGATAAACGCAAGTAGAGATTATATAAAGCTTGTCCTCTTGCATCAGGGGCTGATTTTTCTGACACTAGCAACAACAATTTCAAGCATGAGGCCTCCTCCCTGTGATGACTATAGAAGACAGCAGCACGAGTGCATGGAGGCAAATGGCCGGCAACTGGCTTTGCTGTATCTGGCACTGTACACCACAGCGCTTGGTGGTGGGGGAATAAAGTCTAATGTCTCTGGTTTTGGCTCTGATCAATTTGATGTGACGGATCCCAAGGAGGAGAAGGCTATGATTTTCTTCTTCAATAGGTTCTATTTTGGCGTCAGCATCGGGTCTTTATTTTCCGTGATTGTGCTGGTATATATACAAGACAATGTAGGAAGAGGGTGGGGATATGGAATTTCTGCGGGCACAATGGTGATTGCAGTGGCAGTTCTGCTTTGTGGAACACCATGGTACAGGTTTAAAAAGCCTCAGGGGAGCCCTTTAACTGTCATATGGAGGGTTCTGTTCTTGGCCTTGAAGAAGAGGAATCAGTCTTATCCTTCCCACCCCAGCCTTTTGAACGATTATGAGAACAGAAAGGTTCCCTACACACAAAGATTCAAGTAAGTATGATTTGACATAGCATTACTCTCAAGATAATAATTTCAAGGAAAACATTGCTCTCTTCTGTCTTGTCCACAAGGACCTGTTGTGCTGTTGTTGCCAAAACTATAAGTGATCAAAGAATTTTGGTTCAGGCGCTGCTCACAACAGACTAAAAACTGAAAAAGAAACTTGAAATTTCATCATTTGCAAAACTTTAGCGCAAGACTCAAACAATATCAAACTCATTTTCCCTCCATGACCTTCTCTTTTCCATGTTTAAACCCCATTCCCCTCCATGAGCTAGTACTACACAAATTGAAGAATTTTGCTTCAAGCTGAAATATGAAATTTTACTACTTGCAGAACTCCAGGCCCCAGAGTTAACTTTAGATTACAAATGTTAAAATAGAAAAGGAAAAGGTCGAAGTAAAATAAAATCATCCATCTTCATCTTGAAATGCGACTAAATCAGGAATCTGGTCTTTACCAAAACCAGATTCCATGTAGCCTAGCCAGTAAAATTATGCCTTAAAACCACAACTCTCTGCTCCTTACTCCTTACCGATTCTATATTCGGTACATAACTAAGAGATTCTGCCCATTTATTCATTGTAAGCAGGTGAATCTGGTCCAAGTTTGCAGGACCATAATCGCATCGAGTGCCCAAAATACTAATTGCACTAGCCATCCATATTTGTTATTTTTCCCTGAAAAATTAACAAAATTTCATTTCACTGTGCATGTGATAATTAGGTGTCTTGACAAGGCTGCAATCCTAGACGACAATTGTGCTGACAATGCAAACAAAAGTAACCCATGGATAGTATCAACTGTGACTCAAGTTGAGGAGGTCAAAATGGTCCTAAAGCTACTTCCCATTTGGTCCACATGTATCCTCTTCTGGACAATCTACTCCCAAATGACTACTTTTACAATTGAGCAAGCCACCTTCATGCATCGAAAAGTCCGTTCCTTCGAAATCCCTGCGGGCTCTTTCTCTGCCTTTCTCATCATCAGCATTCTCCTCTTCACCTCCCTAAATGAAAAAGTGTTTGTCCCCTTGGCTCGAAAAATCACCCATAATGTCCAAGGACTCACAAGCCTCCAGAGGATTGGAATTGGACTCATTTTGTCAATAGTTGCCATGGTGGGTGCTGCTATTGTTGAGAAAGAAAGGAGAGAAATTGCTAATCAGAAGAATGTCAAAACAAGTGCTTTTTGGCTACTTGTTCAATTTTTCTTCGTGGGTGCCGGAGAAGCTTTTGCTTATGTTGGACAACTTGAGTTCTTTATTAGAGAGGCGCCAGACCGAATGAAATCCATGAGCACAGGGCTTTTCCTGAGCACCATTTCAATGGGGTTCTTTGTGAGCAGTTTGTTAGTGTCCATCGTCGACCATGTGACCAAAAAGAGATGGCTTAGAAGCAATCTGAATGAAGGAAAGTTGAATAACTTTTACTGGTTACTGGCAGTATTTGGATTTTTAAATTTCCTGGTATTTCTCGCCTTAGCATCAAGGCATCAGTACAAAACGCAGCTCCCTATGAAGCCTGACTCTGGAGAGAAGGAGCTTAAGAGCTTGAATGATGAAATGATAGAAGAGATAGAGAAGAAAGCAAGCATTCAATCAGTGGGAAACGCAGAGCCGTAGCATATCTCTATTTTAAGAGGATTGTATTTCATTGTTCCACGACATATATAGTTCTTATTTTAGCTGGTCAAAAGGATAAGGAAAAAATTAGCAGCTCGTGTTTGTGTAACGCGTAATTGTAAGGTGATATTTGATTATTCTTTTTTCTGCTTCATATCATGGTGTGCAACATTATAAGGAGATATATCTTTTCTCGCTTAATAAAGATACATTATTATATCCAAGCGATTATTCCAACTCTAGTTCCTAGATGTGATTTTCATTTGGTCTTCCCATGAATCTCAGTGCTTCAGAGTTGCACGACAGAATATCAGCCATCGTGACCCAAAACATCAACCAAAATACATTGCATGTAACTGAGGAGCAGGCTCTTGAATATAAAAGTTAATTTATTCCAATACATCCACGAAACCCACTACAAAACAATTGTTTACCAAATAAACAAAATATAGAAAGCAGCAAGCTGAGCTCTAAAGAGGAGCCAGCATGGGCAGCTAACTAGGTGGTTCATAACCAATGCAGGCTGAAGAATATGCTGGTTCATCTCCCTTTGTTTGCGACTCCTGTGTCTCAATCTCAACTAATCTTTTCACCAACAAGGATAACGAGACATTAGAAATAATAACTTTTTTCTTGGTACATGTAAAACTCTGTTAGACTTTGAGCTTCAAACAGAGAAACGAACTTTCTCCCATCTCATTAATCTCATTTGTTTCTTCTTCCGAATATTCAAACCTAAATACCTTGAAAGTCTCGAGTTGTAGCAGTTGGGAATCCCTGTAAGGACTCGAATCAATAGCCCTGTGCAGAGATATTTCATTCAATGGGATTCATCGTTGCAAATTCATACTGAAACCTGCTGGAGCATTGCTCTAACAGTAGGAGGATTCTGTCAGCATCAGAGACCGGCAACACTTTGCGCAAGACGCAGTGCTTCTAATCGAATGACGACCAAGGCCACCTAGTTCTAGGAATTCCCCTGCCTAAAGCGATAGAATTTAATGAAGAAGAATCTACCTATAGAAAATCAAGCTTTTCCTCTCCTCTCTATATGAGAAGACCTCATTTGGTGCTGCCAATGAGTGTGAGCAGTGTTTTCCTTCGAAAAAATAAACCCAAACCCATATCCATAAACATCTTTTACATGACTGATTCGTTACGATTAGGAACTTTCTCAACTAACAATGCCACCTACTCCTACGTTAAAGGACACCGAAAATGTCTATTTTACCCTTTTCTTTAACGAACTCTCCGCCCTTCTCTCATAACACTATGCCAGAACTCCATTTCTCTTCACTCTGTTTCCACTACCTTTTCTCTTAGACGTTGATCATGTCACCTGCCGTCGCCACCAACGGCTTCGCCGACACTCGAAAGGAGGAAGGCCCCAGCCGCCTCCCCTCCGTCTACAGTGAACTCCAAAGTAACCGATTGAACCACTCCCCTCCCCTCCCATCTATCCTCAAAAGCTCCTTCAAAGTCGTTGATGGCCCCCCTACCTCTGCTGCTGGAAACCCAAGTACGTGACTATCTCACATTATATAAAATTATGTATAAACACATTGGCGTTTTTATACTTCACAAGTAGCCATCATCTTAGTTCGTGGAGTTTAAAAACTCCACCACAAATGCTCGAAAAAGTAATCATACATATATTCTTTTTAATTTGAAGCAGTTTCATTTTTGGTACATATGGGTACTTACTAGGTTGCTAACTTCAAAAGCTTAAACGTGAATCTAAAGTAATCACTAGTATATCCCTTTAGATATATGTTGTAGTTTAGAATTTTATAACTTCCTAGCTAAGAGTAATTAAGTAGAGCATGAATGAATTTGCAGATGAGATAGCGAACTTGTTTCCAAATCTTTATGGAAAGCCATCGGTTTCGTTGGTTCCTGGTGATTCTGAGATGAAGGGTCATCAGAGTTTGAAGATTGGAGTTGTTTTGTCTGGAGGGCAAGCTCCTGGGGGACACAATGTGATAACTGGGATTTTCGGTAAGGACTTTGTCTTTATATTTTCTACCGGCAGACTTCAGTCTGATCAGTGGGGAATTTGTTTAATTTCTGAGTGTATTTATTTTTCTGGTTATTGTGGTTAGACTACCTGCAAGAACGCGCAAAAGGAAGTACACTTTATGGGTTTAAGGGCGGTCCAGCAGGCATTATGAGGTGCAAATATGTTAAGCTGTCTATCGAGTTAATTTACCCTTACAGAAACCAGGTAAAAACTTTTGAGTTTTGTTACATTAAGTTGATAAATCAGTAACAGTAAGTCACGATTGAGTCATGTGTAGTTGTATACTCCGTATTGCATACTCACTTGACCAAGTTTCTATTGGAAGTGGCTATGCACATTGCATGGTAGGTGAAATATGCTGGTGAGGTACACAACTTTTTTCCTTCAAAAAGAAAAAGCACATGAATTATGTGTTTGTGTTGTTTGGTGTACCATTGCATCAATTTTTCTTGTGAAAATAGCCTTTTACTGAGTAATTTCTCTCAGAGTAGCCTACATATGACACAAGTTGGGATAAAATTACAGGGTGGCTTTGATATGATTTGCAGTGGTAGAGACAAAATTGAAACTCCAGAGCAGGTTAGTTACTACAACAGTTTGGTTTGTTCTGCTTTTTAGTTATTCTAGTTTGCAAATTGCAATTGTATATTAAAAATTCTACGCAGTTTAAATCTTTCAAACTGTAATGTCTGCTAAGTAATGCTACTGGATGTTTGCTAAAATTTTGTTATTCAATCTAGTATAATGAAATTCAATTTTCAAACCTATATAACTGAGTTTGCATAGCAAGTACTTTTCAGCTTAAGCAAGCTGAAGAAACAGTGAAGAAGCTTGATTTGGATGGGCTTGTTGTCATTGGTGGGGATGACTCAAACACAAATGCTTGCCTTCTTGCTGAGAACTTTAGGTAAAATACTCCACCACTAGGTGACAATGTTCTGTCAATTTACTATGATGTTTGATTCAGCAGATAATTTACTATGATGTTGTGAAATTGTCAAAATATGATCATGTTGTTAAAAGTAAAAGTTAGTGCTGAACTGCTAATTCACATGATGACATCTAGTTCCTGTTTGCTGCTGTATGATTTACTTTCATTAAATTTTCAGGAGTAAAAATATGAAGACACAAGTTTTTGGCTGCCCAAAAACTATTGATGGCGATTTGAAATGCAAAGAGGTGCCTATAAGTTTTGGATTTGACACTGCATGCAAGGTAATCGTTATTTTAATTGGTGGAGTCTTTATAGCATTAATTTTCATATTTTATGATGCAAAATCAGTGTACATTATACTTTTCATATTTTGTTCTCTTTAATCCCATATGGGTTAAGATCACTTACCAACATAAAATCCTGACTACAGTCTGTCATGGATAAACTTGGTATTGTTATTTAATGAACTGCATTTACTTGGAATATGCAGATATATTCAGAGATGATTGGAAATGTCATGACAGATGCTCGTTCAACTGGAAAATACTACCACTGTAAGTGCTTTAATTAAGAAATATATCAGATTGGATGAGAAATGATCTGGCATGTACAGAAGGAAAACTTCATTCTTGATTGAAGGCCTTTCATTTTCTCTTTTTCCACTTTATCAGGCTGTCATGTGTCTGTCTAGATCTATTATTATACATATTTTTGTACGAATTAATATTCTCATTGTCTTTATTCCTGCTGGTTGCAATCCTAATTATCTGTTTTGCAGTCATAAGGCTCATGGGCCGTGCAGCTTCTCATATAACTTTGGAGTGTGCTTTGCAGACTCATCCAAATATTGCGATCATTGGGGAAGAGGTGCTCTGAGTCCTCTGATATTCTCTATTGATCTCAGTTTTAGAAATTTCTTCTATGTTGTGTATTCATAAAATTAATTGTCTTCATGATGTGATATCAGAAATGACGAGCCAAGATTTTAATATAAAGAATGAAATGTCCTTTTTTTTTTTTGGCTGATTCTTAAACTATTTAAGGCTTCATTTCAAATTTTAAATAGGAATATTTGGACATTTTTGACATCATACTCTATTATAACATTATAATAACTATAATTGCTACACATGGTACCATAGATTTTCTTGACGCATCTCTTGCTTGCCAGGTTTACACTAATTGTCTTTGTATTTCATTTTGTGGCTTGTTTTCTATCAATTATAGTACAACCTTTGAAATACACGGGTTAGCTCAAAGTAAAGCTAACAACATGCTCCCCTGTTTTTGATTTATAAATTGGTTTTGGAACATGATTTTATAAGCAGCAAGTAGCAATATGTTCATTGATTTTTGGTTTTAGAGTGAAACTCTATCACTAAAGCTGTCTGAGTGGGAGTTTTTTCTTCTTTTTTTTTTCGTACAAGCAAGAATTTTCAGACGAAGGATTTTCCATAGTAGTAAATATAAATAATTATATGATGTTGATATTGCAATTCACATTCCATTTTGTTACACTATGGGATGTGAACTCATTCAGCATATTGCATTAGATAAGTTGGCTGATGTTGTTTAATTATTTCTAGATTTCTGGAATTGTATAAGCTAACCTCTGAATTTGTTGATGTTTGTTTCGAAAGTATGCAAAGGCTTGTGTAGTGGTGTCACCCCACATATTTACTGGAAACTGAATGGTGGAAGTGAGGATTTCTATTTTTTGAATTCTAAAATGAATTGAATAAATAACGTGCATAATTCAATGTTGTCTTCTTTTTCTTTTTCTTTGGGTATAATTATCATATCTTTCCTGAATGCTTCCCATTGACTTCACAGTTTGACAAGGTTTTATCTTTGATGCAGGTTGCTGCCAAAAAGCTAACAATGAAGAATGTTACAAATCATATTGCAGATATCATTTGCAAACGTCTGGAACTTGGGCTTAATTATGGTGTAATACTTCTTCCAGAAGGCCTTATTGATTTTATTCCTGAGGTATGATTTTCAAAAGCAGAAGTTGCTCCTTATGTTTTCTTTTCTACTTTCTCCATGTTAACCATCATCAGTGAGATGAATCAGCTGTCAGTCCATTTGAAATTTCTCTGAGTCATAGTTTAGAGATGTGAGCATGAGGTGTGAATCACTGGCAGGTAAAACAGCTTATTGGAGAGCTAAATGAAATTTTAGTTCATGATGTTGTTGATGAAGCTGGGATGTGGAAAAGGAAACTGAGAAGCCAATCTCAAGAGCTTTTTGAGTTTTTACCTCAAGCA